CAAAGTGTGGAAGTAAAGCTGCTTGACTTTAACTCCAGGTCATATAATATGCTAGGTTCTAGTGGGCCGTGGTGGCGCAAGCCTGTAATTTCAGCACTCAGGAGGCTGAGACAGGAGCATTGCTGCAAGTTCGAGGCCAACCTGAACTAAGTAGGGAGACTGCCTCAAAAAAAGAGGGAGGCCTGTAGGAGGTTTTAAGCAGAGGTCATTCACTGTGGTGGATTAACTAATGGTCCACTTGGAATGCCCAGCTGAACTGAGTCAACGTGGTCTGGGCATGGAGGATCCACCTGAGGATTGTTACCAATAGCCATAAAAAGGGAACTGGAGGGGAAGATCGGGGGCTGTTGACTTTCTAGAAGCTTGCTGCGGATGATTTTCCTGATGCGCACTAGGCTGTTCTCATCGGAGGAGCTCGGGCCTCACTATCTGGAAATGACTGCTGTTTCCATCAGGGGAGCGCTGATCTTCATCGTGAGCATCACTTCCTGGCTGCGATGTGGATCCCTCAGCCTGGTAGCACAAATCCTTCATCCCACCAGCATAGGTTTTCTGGTTTCCACCACTGGCCTTTGGGCCTTCAGAGTCCAGATCCGAAATATGGACAAGTATGAGACATTGCCGTGGGCTCTAGGTCACTGGCTGGACTCGTGGAGGACATTGCCTTGGACTCTAGGCCTTCAGCTGCACTTGTACGGGACATTGCTGTGGGATTCAGGCCCTCGGCTGGATTCTTGGGGCCTCTAGTCTGGGGCTTATCTCTTGCACTCCTTTGCATTTGATTTTTTGGATAAATATAAAATAAACCTATAAACTATGTGTCCTGTAATTCATATATTCCTTTGCCAAAACCCTGACTGTAACACTCAGAGTGACAGATTTCCTCTGTGCCTGTGCTCACCCCACTCCACGCCATGGATCAAACCCAGGGCTGCATCCTAGGCAAACCCTTTACTGTCTAAAAGCTTACTTCCAGGGCTGGGGATTTAGCTCAGTGCTTCCAGCGCCTGCCTCACAAGCGCAAGGTCCTGAGTTCCATCCCTGGTACCAAAAAAATAAATAAATAAAAGGTACTTCCAAGATACTGTGAGAATCAGAAAGTCACTCTGCTAAGAGTGAAGATATATAAAAGGCCTGCTCTGTTTAAACCAGCAGGCCAGGTATGGTGGCCTGAACTGCATAGTGAGCCCGTCTCAAAAAAAACACAAAGTAACTGTGATAAGGAAGGGCTTCATTTAAAAATTTTGAGGTTGGGCCAGGGATTTAGCTCAGTGGTTCCAGCGCCCGCCTTGAAAGCGCAAGGTCTGGAGTTCGATCTCTGGTACCAAAAAAAAAAAATTTGGGGGTGCATTTTGCCTAGGAAACAGTATTACGCTGACCTGACCTTCCTGAGATGTTATACACGTCTCAGGACAACACTGGGGGTAAGTGTGCTTTTGCCTCAAAGCAGGGAGAAACTGAGCCTGAAGAGAACTTCAAAGAAATCTCCCCTGGGTTACAACCGGTAGAGGGCCTAAGTCCACACCTGGGCTCCATCCCCTTTGCTCTGCTCTGCCTCTTCTTGGGGCTGAAGTCCTGTGTATCTAGTGAGAAGGAATAGTGCAGTGTGGGGCTGTAAGGCCAGGTGTGCTGGCACATGCCTGTGATCCCAGCACTTGGGAGGCTCGGGCAGGACGATTATCATGAGTTCGGGGCCAGCCTGGGCTACTCGGTGAGACCGTCTCAAAAACCGAAAAACAGGGCCGGGGATTTAGCTCAGTGGCATCACACCTGCCTCAGAAGCACAAGGTCCTGAGTTCGATCTCCGGTACTGCAAAAACAAAACAAAACAAAAAAACCCTGAAAAACAGTGTGGGGGTATAGGTCAGCAAGCCACAAAAGTAACATTTACATTTACCTTGGTTTTTTTTAGCAAAATATTTATTGGTACATTTTAGATATACATAATACTTGGGCCGGGGATTTAGCTCAGTGGTTCCGGCACCTGCCTTGCAAGTGCAAGGTCCCAAGTTCGATCCCCGGTACCAAAAAAAAAAAAAAAAAAAAAGATACACATAATACTCATCATAGGAAATTTGTACCTGTACACCATTTATCTTGCTTTTTTTCCCATTCCCCTTCCCTCCCTTCAACCCCTCTGCCCCTCCTTATTTACAAAAAGCTGTTTCCACTTTTTTCCCTTCTATTCTTTTTCTTCTTGTCCCTTCCTTCTGGTGCAAAGGCCCTCTGATTTCTCTGAGTTCTTGGCCTCACTCAGGCAAGGAATGCATGAGCAGAGCCAGGTTGACTCAAAACCCATGATCCCCCGAGTGGAGAGGAAGAGGCCATCTGCCACAGAATGAAGATGTCAGAAGATGAAAGCAGTGCAAAGCAGAGGTTTACTTATATTGCAAAGGCAGGGACAAAGCTGTCAATCAAGTTGCCTGGCAGAGAGAGCTGGAAGAGTTTCTCGGGATGGTGTCTTTGCTCTGCCCATTTTCGTGGGGCTCTAAGCCAATGGGGATCTTAGCCTTGGTTGCTGGGGTGAGCAAAGTTTCATGGAGTTTTAGGGTTTCCAGAGTACGCACTCCAGTCCCTAAAAATAATGCCTGTAGAGGTTTCACAAAGGGCAATTTCTTCTAGTAAACAGGTGGTCACTTCTGTAACCATCTGCCACGTCAGCCACGTTACACTCTAGGACCCTAGTTAGCTCCCCATAACTGACACAATGTGAAAACACGACTAGCACGGGCAAGGGGTTGGGATCCATCCCCAGCACCAAGTAAATAATAATGTTCACGAAGTGTTTGACTGCCTAAAGGAAACGGAGATGGATGGAAATGCCGCAGACCAGCTGCAGTCGATGTCGATGTAGGGCAGGAAGGGGAGATGTCCTGGGCCGGCGATGAGAAAAGAACCTTCACAAGCAATGTTCAGGTTCCCTCTGATAAGTCTCAGGGTCTGATTTATTTTTATATCTTTAAGCAATAGCTGGGAGGCATTGGGTGGGACATGTTTACATTTTAAATTGCCTTAGCAATTTCTATTGAAGTAAAGGTTATTTTTTGTTAAAGTACAATTCCTCTAAGCTGTTTCATTTCATTGAATGTCACGAATACATATTTAAAAATTACAATTGTCCCCTTATTTACCCACACCTAAGCAGAACAGAAGGTAACTTAATCAAAATCTTTATATCAGTGGGGTACAAGCAAGATTTAATCAACTAAGTGTCAAACTTGTGGTCGCCAGCTGGCCCTTGAGAAAACTGCACAATGGTTAATATAGTTTGCTATTAGCTCTCTATTTTTCTATGCCTCTATTCATCTTAACTAAATGTCATTTAGGTTCATAGTCCATGAGCAGGAGATATTTACAGCACTTTGAGAAATATTGAGTAACTTGCCTCCTTAATACATTTACCTGTCTTAACTTTCTTTCTTTTTCCCATTTTCCACTATTTCTTACATCTAAAGTCTGACCTTTCAATCTCTTCATAAGACCCCTTTAGTAAAAAGAATGTCAGCAATAAGAAGGGGAGTTATAGTAGTGGGGGAAACAGAGGGGGTTTTAGGAGCGGTTTCTTTAGGAGTGGATGTGGCAATAGAACTAAGAGAAACTGGAATTTGGGACTTGTGAGCCAGATCAGATTTCAATATATCATTACCAATTTGCCTCACGGAGAGTTTGTTGTTAGTCACAAACACAATGACTCCTGTGATCAGAGTAACAATTATAAACATTATGGCAAGAAAAAATAAAACATGAGGGTCCGATGTCTTCCCCCCTTTCTTTCCCCCAGCTGGAACTTTGTCAAGCAGCAATGGAGGTCGCTTGGGCTTCACCATGGAAATGTGATGTGGGTTGCTCCTTTTTACTTCAAAATTTAGTCATTTCCAATAAGAAATATTTAAATATTTATGACATTGTTTTCCCCTTTTTTTTTTGGTACCAGGGATCGAACTTGGGTCCTTCTGCTTGCGAGGCAGGAGGCGGAGATTTATGACATTTTTGCAAAAGAAAAAAAGTACTTAGATTGTCATCAGAAAGAAAAATAATACAGATTTTGCTTTAGGATAGCAGGATAAGAGGGTTAAACTTTGTTTTTTTGTTGTAGTTGTTTTGAGACAGGGCCTCACTATGCAGTTCAGGTTGGCTCCCAACTTGACGGTGATCATCCTAGCTCAGCCTCCCGTGTGCTGGGATTACAGGTGGGTACCCCATACCCAGCTATGAAATGTAGTAAGTGAACAGTGAAATGGTGAGACATAATGAAGCTGGGTGCGTGTGCTACTGCCCAATTTTTCTGCATGTTTGCTGTTAACAGAGTATGAGGGGATGGAGAAGGCAAGTGTGGACTGACCCCAAGCCAGAACCGGTACTTCTCCCTCCCTGCACCCCATCAGCAGGTACCTGAGCATAAGACTCACATACCCAGTAATCTCCAGCAGTACGTTTGTCCTTAAATGCACGGACTGAGCTGAAATCTTAGCTATCACCCCTGGGCAAGTCATTTAACCTCTACTGCCCCCGCCCCCTGGAGCCAACAGAGCCCGTTCATGCCCTGAACCTCATCCTAGAGATTCACTGGGTTACTGCAGACGATTCTGCAACACGAAGGGTGTGGGCTGGCAGCTTCTCACATCTCTGTGACCTGCTGTGGTGTGGTTTCCCACCTGAGCACATACTCAACAGCAACTTCCCAGCGCAAACTTCCTGGTGCCAGGAAAGCAGCTCAGTGGTGGGGCCCCTGCCTCGCACGTGCAAGGCCTTGGGTCTGATCCCCAGGACTGCAAAACATAAGCAAACTTCCTGAATTTGTAAGTGTACTATAGGGAGGCAAAAGGCCATCCTTTTCCTAGAAGACACATACTTAGTGTGTGCTCGTGAATGTGTGCAGAGAAAGAAAGCAACAAGATGAGACGATACCCAAATAAATCCAGATGAAAGGATGAGCATGCCAATGATCCTGAACTTGCCCGAAGGAGACTTAAAAAAAAAAATGGCTAAGAGAGAAAAAGGAAGTGGCAGTCCATAGTTTTATTGCAAAATACTCATAAATCCGGACACTTGACCCCTGGGCTTACGGCTTATGCTTCAGAGCTTGCAGCACCCCGAGAGCAGCACTCCGCTTGGCGCCGTCGTCAGCACTGCTCCTCGTTCCCACCACATCCCCTCCTGTGGCTGTGGCAGGAGTCCGGGCTCTCCGTGCGCTCACAGGCCAGTGACCAGCTGGGCCACCCGACCTGACACGGCGAGTCGCTAAGGAGCACTGCAGCAGGCCGCGCCTGTTGGTCGCTCCCACCCAGATGTTCTGGAGAAGGCGCAGCTGGGGAAGGAGACGCCAGGGCTCCTTGCCACGGCAGTGCAGTCCAGGCTGCCTGCAGGAGCTTGCACTTCACCTTTTCTTCACAAACTTCTTTCTGGAAGCGTTGGGATTTAAGCGCCTCCTTCCGGCCCCCAAGGTGCTGTCGTGGACCTGCAGGGTGGCCGAGCGGCTGGAGATGTCGTTCTCTGCAAAGGGAGACACCCCGGCTATGTAGTCGGGGGCAAACACATTGGTCTTCTGCCGGGCCTTGTGGGACAGTCGCAGCTGCGGGAAGCGCTGGTCCTCCGTCAGGTGGGGGTTGATGGCATATTTGCCCCCTTTCGGCATGGGCAGCGAGTACTGTGGGGAGACGGGGCAGCTCTTAGAGGGGCTCGGTGCACACTTGTCCCCGTGCGGGCAGATGACCCAGCGGGCAGCCCATCTTCCCCCATCCCACCAGTGCAAAGGAAAACACAGGGCTGGGCCTCACCCCCTGGCACACTGGTGAGCTGGAACCACTGCGACAATGCTGCGTGTAGCAGCTCTGCAGTGGTGGTGAGTTCTGTGGGAACCGGGGTCACTGAGGATGTTATGAATGCGGGAAGGGGAAGGCTTGCAACCTGGGGGTGGGCTGAAGCGGAAGCGGTGGCAGAGGACCAGAATTATCTCAAACACGTACTGATAAAAAAGGAAGGAGGGGCCAGGGATTTAGCTCAGTGGTTCCAGGCCTGCCTTATAAGCGCAAGGTCCCGAGTTTGATCCCCAGTACCAAAAAAAATTAAAATTAAAAAAAGGGAAGGAACACCGGGCATGGTGATGCACGCCTATAATCCCAGCATGGGGGAGGCTGAGGCAGGAAGAGCACTGTGAGTTGGAGCCCAGCCTACATAGTGAGACAACCCTGTGCAGCAAAACAAATAAATAAAACACGGGTCTCATTAGGTAGCCCGGGCTGGCCTTGAACTCACAATGATCTTCCTGCCTTGGCCACCCAAGTGCTGGGACCACAGGTGTGTACCACACGGCCAGGAAATAAAAAAAAGAGAGGGCCAGGGATTTAGGATTTAGCTCAGTGGTTCCACCGCCTGCTGCACAAGCGCAAGGACCCAAGTTCAATTCCCAGTACCAAAAAAAAAAAAAAAGAAAGAAAGAAAGAGAAAAGAGAATTAACTGAAATATTAAAAAAGGACACAGAGGGCCAGGGATTTAGCTCAGTGGTTCCGCTGCCTGTCTCCCAAGAGGAAGATCCCGAAAAAAATAACAAAAATTAAAAAGGACAAAGAAGGCAGCTCAAGGGGGGTTATTCTGGCCATGCATGGGACAATTTAATCCTCAAAATGATAGCTTTGATGGTTCTCACCTTATATATTAAAATGAAAGTTCATCAGACCATATTCACATAAATAAATGGGAATAAAAGGAAAATTCCTTTTTGTAAGTAGATGCCAAGTAATATATTCAGAAGGCCTGGTGGATTTAGAAAATCATCATTTGAAGGCTGGGTATCGTGATGCACACTTGTAATCCCAGCACTCTGGGAGGCTGAGGCAGGAAGACTGTAAATTCAAGTCTAGACTAGGCAACTTAGTGACTTAGCACAACCCTATCTCAAAAAGGGCTGGGGAAGTAGTTCAGTATTAAGGCCCTGGGTCCATCCCCAGTACTGCTCAAAAATAAAATCATCAGTTGGCAATGTCAACCAGAACATCTTTCCGTAAATAATTAACTACGAATAATTTTCCAGTGGATTAATCTGTCAAAAGTCACCTTAACCAAGTGATCAAAGTTAATAGCACCACTCAGGAGGCTGAGGCGGGAGGACTGCCACAATTTCCAGGCCAGAATGAACTACAGTGAGACCCTGACTCACAAAACCAAAACCAAACAAACAAAAAAACCCAGTTAATGTCACTAATAAATTGCGCAACATCGTCACAGCCACTGAGAAGGACACAATGTGACTTCTTGGGCAGTTTCTGCCAAAAATGCACAGCCTGACTCTAACCCCAAGGCGCAGCCCAGCCCAGCTGAGGGACAGTCCACAAATTAACTGGCTAGGCATGTCAGGGTTGCAAAAACAAGACGAAGAAAGGACTGCGGCTTGACAGACTGCAGGGACTGACGATAAATGGAGCGACTGATGTGACCCAGAATCCCCTCTGTGGCGATAAAGGAGCAGGAAGAAATGGCAAGGCGTAAATGCGGGTCGGGAGATTAGACAGTCATACTGGGGCAGTGCTGACTTCTGGATTTTGATAATTATAATGTGGTCATGTAAAGTAAGTGCTTTAGGGCACAGGGATACTATGTGAACAATTCACTTTCAAATGGCTCTGAAAAAAATAATGTGTGTACATGTATTTAGACAGGGTCATAAAGCGAACAGGGCAAAAGATTAACACAGAAATCCAGGTGAAGGGGAAATGGGAATTCTCTGTACTACTTTTGCAACTTTTCTATAAATCTTAAATTATTTCAGAATACAAAGTTAAATTCTCTTCTTGCATTAGTGGTACATTCGCTACCTGGGAGACAGCAGTGCCAGATCAACATCACTTTTACCAGGCACAGTGGCACATGCCTACTGTACTCTGGGAGGCTGAGGCAGGAGGAACACAAGCTCAAGCCCAGGCTGGGCAACTTAGCGATACCTTGTCTCAAAATTTTACAAAAGTTTTTATTTAATTTTAGTTTTTTTTTTTTAGACAGGGTCTTGCTGTGTAGTTCAGGCAGGCTTCAAACTCATGGTGATCCTCCTGCCTCAGGAGGGGTTACAGGCATGTACCACCACACCCGACAAAAAAACCTTTTTTTGGGGTACTGGGGATCAAACTTGGGACCTTGTGCTTGCGCGGCAGGCAGTGGAACCACTGAGCTAAATCCCTGGCCCCCCCAAAAAAACTTTTTAAAAGGGCTAGGCATGTAGCTCAGTGCAAAGGGACTGAATTCAATCTCTGATACCATTAGAAAGAAAAATCACTCACACCAGTCTTCCGGGTCTTCCTCTCTCCCAAGTCTCCCAAACAAATCCCCAGTTGCTATGCGGGGTCCCAGGCCGCTCCCACCCTTCCTTCTGACTCCCACACAAATGTGGCCCTGCCCCAGGCTGCCAAGCCTGTGGCCAGCAGACAGCACCAGGCTGCACTTCTACTGTCCTGGGTCCTCTGCGTTCCTGCAGTGGTGGGGACATGGCGGATGCCACTCACCCGGAGGCCTCGTGGGTTCAGCACCTTGGGGTTGCGGGAGAAGAGCATGTGCAGGGCGCCGTCCTCGCTCACGGTCACCGCCACTTTCTTCAGCGTCCTGTTCCCACAGTGCGCGCAGAACACTCGGCTCATGTCAGACGTGGTCCTGGGGGACGAGGGAGAGGCTGTGTGCTGGCACCAGGGCTGGACACAAGGAGGGCACGGGCCCGGAGGGCACAAGAATCTGGGCCGCACTGTACCCACCTCTGTGATTTGATAGTGCTAAGGACTAAACCCAGAGAAGGCTGAGCTGCATCCCCAGCCTTTTATTTACTCTGAGACAGGGTCTAAGTTGCCCAGGCTGGCCTCAAACTTGCGATCGTCCTGCCTCAGCCTCCCAAGCAGCTCTACACACCCAAACTACACTAAGGTCGCCTGGCCTCACGCGAGTGAAGATGTTAAGTGCCGCTCCCTTCCTTGGAGGGAAGAAGTAAAGACGGAGCAAATTAAGTCACTGTGAAAAATGAGCAGGAATTTGTGACCCCAATCAACTTTTATTAAGCACTGTTAGACACCGGCCTGCAGGTTTAGCAAGAGACTCCTGGGGGGAGGCCGGGACCACCTCCATTTCGCAGGCGGGGGCCCTTGCTCCCGGACACAGACACGCAGCTGGGGGTGGCAGACTGAGAGTGACAGCTCTGGATGGAGCTCTCTCTCTCTCTCAGGCATCAACGACTCACACGGGAAACCCCAAGAAACCTGCTGGGGCTGCTCAGGGTGGGTGCTGAGCAGTCAAAAGCTGCTACTGCCAAGGGCCACAGGGTCCCTGTCCTTCAGGGATTCACCACCAGCCACCGAGGCCAGGGGTGAGGGCCTCGCTTTGTCTCCTCGAAGACGGGACAAAGTGACCCTGCCTGAGGCTGTCCGGGAACAGAGGATGATCCCAGCCTTTCTAAGGAGCACAGGGGTCCTGCAGGAGGGAGAGTGGGCAGATGGGACTCCAGCAAACAAGGCGCCTCACTGTGGGGCACAGAGACACTCTGAGCAGTGAACTGCAGCAGGCGCAGCAAAGCTGGGCCCCAGAGACTGTCGGCATCGGGACGGGTTACTTTCAAGCCTTCGGAAGAAGGCGGCCCGACCCAGGCCACAGCTCTGGGGCTGGTGTGACTCCATGTTTTAGAACCGCTCCTCGTAGGCCCTGCATTATGGGTCAACCAGATCCAGCCCACAGACGCGGGTGGCTGGAAGCCGCCTGGTCTAAGTCCTGCCACCTGCACGCTGGAGCCCGGGTCGCACAGGGTGCCAGCTTCCACCTCGGGAAGCACCCAGCAGAGCTGGGAGAGGGAGAAAAGCAGCCATTAAGCTGATCCTTCCTATGGCTTATCTTTCTTCTTCTTTTTCTTCACAACACTTGCCATTTTATTTAAGACTCTGAAAGCTGGGGACATGGTGCATGCTTGTAATCCCAGCACTCAGGAGGCTGACACAGGAGGATCATTGAGTTTGAGGCCAGCATGGAACACAGTGAGACAGTGACTCAAAAACTAAAAATAAAACAAAAAGAAATAAAGACTCGGAAGCACAGAGAAGGCAACCAATCTTAGCAAAACCACACAGGTAGCAGAAGAAGGAATTCAGATGTGAACGCATGTCAGAGTAAGGTAGTGCATGTCTGCAACCCCAGCACTCTGGGGGGCTGAGGCAGGAGGAACCAAAGTTCACGCCTTGCTTGGGCAACTTAGCAAGATTCTATCTCAAGATAAAAAAGGGCTGGGCTGAATCCCTAGGAAAACTAACATAAAAACAAAAACCAACAACCCAGGTTGATCACCTAGTGTCACCAACCTGTCTTGTTTCCTTTCCACCTCTACCCACCTATCCACTCATACATTACTCCTGAGCAAACCCAGACACTGCTCCACGCACAGTGCTTCAGTGTCATCCCAGGAGCAAGTGTTTGGTCCCAGAACCTGTGTCCTCAACCCCATGCCACTGAGCTAAGGGGGCGGTCACTGGCAACCTGTGATCCAGGAGCTTCAGGGCCCCAGTGGACTCGGAGTGAGGTGGGCGGAGAGAACACGTATCACACAGGGTCTTCTCTTCTCCACAGTCCTGCTGATGGCAGCTAGGGCCCTGCATGTGCCTCAGCTCTGCACTGAGTGACACCCCAGCCCTCATTCAGAAAGTTCTTAGCCAGGGGAGGGAGACAGGTCTCCAGAGGGCCCCGGGACTAGGCGGCGAGCTACGCACTTGAAGCAGCCGTGGCAGCGAAGGATGTAACTCCGGGCCTCGTGGATCAGCATGCCGTTCACCGCCAGCACGTGCAGCCCCATCTGCAGCAGGACGTTCTGCAACCAGCGAGTGACAGGCACACTGAAACGGGCTTCCAAGGGAGCCTGAGTTCCGTGATCGGTTAGGGGACTCTGCACACCCTGCTGTGGCTCCTAAGCCTTGGCTTAGCTGGACAAAGTTCTCTTGGGAAGCCTCTAAAGGAACACGAGGACCTAGCGTCCCTCTAATGCAAGGGCTGAGGCCTGGGCTCAGCCGTGAGCAATCTCTCAGCAGAGATTCATGTCAACGGGGGAAAAGTCTCCTTTCTGCTTTCCCATGTACCTAAATGAGCCCAGGGCATCACACACTAAGAAAAGCATCAACTGATCAAGAATATCAAAGATTAAAACTTTAACATACTATACAAATTTTGTCACTATACTGTATGATCGTCCAGCCTAACTAAAGATTGTTAATTGTTAGAGAAATTAATTACCAAACGGCACAGGTGAAGTTTCTAGAAGCAGGAAAATCAGGAGGACACAGCTCTGTGCACATCCCCCAGGCTTGGGGCGGGGATTTAGCTCAGTGGTTCCATCACCTGCCTCGATATCTCTATCACATTCCCCAATCTCCACATGGCCGCTGTAGGTGACGTGTGTGACACAAAACCCAGGGCCTGTGCCTGCCTGCTATGGCTTCTGTCTAGAGGTCCCCCCAAAGGCTCGTGTGCCCGTAGCTGGGGCTTTTCAGAGGTGGCTGGATCTAGAGTGTGTGGTGCTGGGATCAAGGGTGTGTGATTACTAAATTAGCCCACTGACTGAAGTGCCATAGTTCTGGGTAGGATTAAGGGTTTCCCAACTAGGGTGTGAGTGCTGCCCACCCCAAGGCCAGGAGCCTGGATAGAATATAAGGGACGGAAAGTCACCACACTCGCTGCTCTGGCTGGCTTCTGCTAGGCCATGGTCTGTTTCTCCTCTGCGATGCCCTCTGCTAAGCCACCCTGCCTTGGAGCCAGCTATGGACTGAAAGCTCTACAAACTGTGAGCCGAAATAAACCTTTCCTCCTTGGGTATTGGTATTTTGTCTCAGCCATGAGAAAAGTACTAAGATGCTGCCCCACCAACCTGCATGGCGAAGTCTGTAGTCACACAGCCGACCTGCACGTCCTTGGGGATGTGGCACTTCTCCAGCTCCTGCTGGATCTGCTTGATGTTGCTGGGGGTTATCCAGCCACCCTCGTCATCGTCACTGTCTTTGCCTTCACTTTCTTCAGAACCATCACCTTCTGTGTCCGCCTCCGCCTCCGCCTCCTCTTCTCCTCTGTCAATCTGAAACAGAATTCACAGTCCCAGCCCACAGGAGCAGAGTCCAGAAGCCGATGGACTGTCACCGAGAGGGAGTTGTAAGCCAGGCCCTTACCAGCAGCTGCTGTAGCTCGTGATCGATATTAGGCAGAGGGTTCCTCCAGAATAGGAAGGAACTGAATTCTGGGTGCTCCGGCTCAGTGGCTGGAGTGCCACAATCTGCTGTTTCTTGCGGAGGTTTATGCTGAGATGAAAAGAAATAGTTACTTATTTTTTGACAGAGACTTGCTGTGTAGTCCAGGGAGTCCTTAACTCACTATGTAGACCAGGCTGGCCTCTTTAACTCACAGCAACCCTCCTGCTGCAGCCTCCCAAGAAGAATGCGCCTGGCATTTTTTTTTTAACAGTAATTTAAAAACCTGAAAATGGAGAGGGTTATAGGTGAAATGACATGATATACCTCTCAGGCCAGACAGGGCCAGACGATTGATACTATTAGTCCAGGTAAACACGGGTGGCTATGAACAAACAACTGAAGGGGCTGAGATGTGTGGTGGAAGAGTCTGAACAAGAGCGTTCATTTAAGGATTACCTTGGAGGGGAGGTGGAAGCCAGAAATGTGCAGAGGAGTTTCTGGGTGCCGAATGGAGGAGCTCACTCTAACCTTTAGGGAAACAAAGGGTCAGGTCTGAGCAAGGTTTCATTTTCAACATGGAAGGGTATTAGAAAAACAAAACCCTCGGTATTTCCCCCTGGTTACTGAAATCAAAGTTATCTAGTGTTTAAAAACTTAGAAATTTTTTTTTCTTTTTTTTGGTACCGGAGATCGAACTCGGGACCTTACACTTTCGAGGCAGGCACCGGAACCAGAAAATATTTTTCTAAATGCTAATATTTAGTGAAACCAATACCCTTAAATAAATGGTTTTTTTGCTGTCACACCTACAACTGCAAAACTTGAAAGTATTTTTGGTTATAGTCTTAGTGTAAATGCCTCAGAGGATTGCTGGGTCAAAGGATACCTTGTTTTTGTTTTGTTTTGTTTAGTACTGAGGTTATTTATTTTTTTTAAAGGACATGATCTTTCACTTTTTTTTTTTTTTTTGGTACCAGGGATTGAACTGGGACCTTGTGCTTCCAAGGCAGGTGCACTGCCACTAAGCTAAATCTCCGGCCCATTTTTTTTGTTTAGTTCTTTAAATCAGAGTCTAGCTATGTAGCCCAGGCTGCCCTCAAATATGGCAATCTTCTTGCCTCAGCCTCCTGAGTGCTGGGATTACAGGTGTGTGCCACCACACCCAGAGTACTGATCTTTAGAGATACACCTCTAGGGCTGGGGATTTAGCTCAGTGGTTCTGGTGCCTGCCTCACAAGCACAAGTTCCCGTTCGATCCCCAGTACCAAAAAAAAAAAAATTTGTTAGAGATACACCTCTAATCTGTGTGAGGCCCTGGGTTTGGTCCCCAACAAGGCCAAAAAATATCCACCTAGGAAATAACAGAGGTCCAGTTCACAATACGCAGGGGTGTGGCTCACTACAAATGGAAACAGACTGGGGCCAGGGATTTAGCTCAGTGGTTTCAACACCTACCTCGAAAGTGCAAAGTCCTGAGTTCGATCCCCTCCCCCCATACCAAATGGAAACAGACTAACCATGAGAGGGCAGCTGTGGGGATGGACAACGGGGACACAGGGTCTGCTATACTACTTCCTTTTTTTCCTCATATATTTGAGAGTTAAAAAAACAAAACAAAACAAAAAAACCCCCAAAACCTCCAACCCTCCTGGTTTACCTTTTCTGGTTCTTGTTTTAGGTGAGACACCCCAACAAACTCTGCTTCCAACTGGTAAGTGAGTGCCAGCACCTGGATATCTGTGGCAGAGAGGCTGGGATAGTCTCCAGTTTTCTTTGAAAACTCAGTCACTGTGAACAAGATATTTCCAACTTTAGAGAGGGTCAGAAAAACAACAGAAATTTGGATAGGCACAAAGAGACACCAAGATAAGACCAATATCCTATGAAAATGTCAATATTTCCTCCATTCCTTTGACTTTTCCTACTCATTGTGGAGAATCTGCATTCTCCACCCCTAAGATTCCTGCCTGTTAGGTTGACTTTGTGACATCCTTATTAAGTACAGATCTAAAACAGAACAGCAGGGTGTGGTGCTGCATGTCTGTAATCCCAGCCCTCAAGAGGCTGAGGCAGGAGGATCAAGGCAAGTTCCAGACCAGCCTGAATTAAGAGTGAGCCCCTGACTCAAAACAAAACAAAAACAAACAAAAAAATAAACGGAGCTGGGGATTTAGCTCAGTGGTGCTGCTGCCTGCCTGGAAAGCGCAAGGTCTCAAGTTTGATGCCCGGTACCAAAAACAAAAACAAAAAAACAAACAGAATAAAGAAAAAGCCACTGAAAGTTAACACGTTTGCGTCTGATCAGAATTTTGTACTGAAGGGCCGGGGATTTAGCTCAGTGGTTTCGCCACCTGCTGTGCAGGCGCAAGGATCCGAGTTCGATCCCCAATCCCAAAAAAAAAAATTTTGTATTGAAGCTGTGGTATTGTTAGAATAGAAACTCTCTTCTCTTCCAGCTCTCCTAGCTCTAAAATCCTTGGATTCTAAGTGTAACAGTTTACAATGACAAGGGCAACCAATTCAAGACCCCTCCTGTCTCTTGGGAGCTATTCCCATTCCCCAGTTTACACTGACAGCATGGATGATTACATTCCAAAATGGAATGGAAAATTAATTCAACCATAATTGTATTGAACTTAAGTCTTTTTTTGTTTTGTTTTGTACCGGGGATCGAACTCGGGACCTTGCACTTGTGGGGCAGGCGTCGGCACCACTGAGCTAAATCCCTGGCCAACCATAATTGTAGTCTATTATGAAACAAAAATATTTTAATGCTTTGTGATAAACAAGGAAGTTTTTTGTTTTTGGTACCGGGAATCAACTGGGGTCCTTGCGCTAGCACAGAAGGCGGCAAAACCACTGAGCTAAATCCCCGGCCCTGCAAGGAATTTTTCGAAACATAAAGAATGTAAATCTGGGCCACGGATTTAGCTCAGTGGTGCCGACACCTGCCTCGACACCTGCCTCGAAAGCGCAAGGTAAGAGTTCAATCCCTGGTACCATAAAAAATGTGTATCTGTGTTTAATACACAGTAAATGCCAGCTGTTACTACTGTGTTCACTGAGAATTGACAACTTAAATTTTCTGCTATTAACAGAAAGATTTCTTCTACAATGACACCAGGTACAGTAACAATATTGCTCACATTTCTTTTTTTTTGGTACCAGGGATCGAACTCGGGTCCTTGCGCTTGCGCAGCAGGCGGCGAAACCACTGAGCTAAATCCCTGGCCCCTTGCTCACATTTCTTTAAAAAAAAAGTCAGCCTCTAAACTAAAACATTTCTAAACTACTGACTGTCAGTCGTTCCTGGAAATCACTGCCTTGTTTCCTAACAAGAGAACAACACTAACTCTTTTCCAGTCTAACGTAAGGCCTAAAATAAAAACATCTTTTCCTGGGACTGGGGATTTAGCTCAGTGGCGCTGTGCCTGCCTCGAAAGCACAAGGTCCTGAGTTCGTTCGCCAGTACCAGAAAAAGATAAAAAGAAAAAAAATCGTTTCCTGGGTCGAGGCTGGACTCTGTATCCAAAACAACCATCGACCCAAGGAGATGGGGTTAAGTAGGAGATCTGGGTTTTTCGACGTGGGGGTCGGGGTGGCAATGCCTGGGATCGAATCCAGGACCCTATGGACGAAGGTAGGGAAATAAATATACCACTGGGTTCTTTTAGCCCAGACCACACTCGTCTAGAACGTTTACTGCCCACTTACAAAGGCCTAGACACGATGTCAGCTGACATATTTCTCACTTGCTGTCCGCAGCAACCCCCGGACACAAGTGTACTATTATTGCCCATTTTACAGCTGAGGCCTAGAGTCTGAGTGACAGGTTCGAGGGCAAACTGCTGGTCAATGGCAGGGGCGGGCTGGAAGCTTCCAATCTAGCACGTGTCGTCGCTAAATCAAAGCTCTGATAAAGAGGCCCAACCCCCGGCTTCCCCGACGGTGCTGCAGCTGAGGCACTCACCTAGCCGCACGTACTCGGGGAGCGGCTCCCTGAACCGCAGCTCGTAGGGCAGGACGGCAAGGCGCCGGCGCGTGGCCCTGTCCCGAATCTCGCTGACCACCTCCCGGATGGTGTAGATGTTTTTCCCTATGTCCTGCGGAGAGACCGGCCCAGCTCACAGTCGCCCGCACCATGCACCACACCGCCCGATCCAAGTGTTCCCTCAGGGGTAAGTAGGCAGCCCAGACCACACTCGTCCAGGCCGGAGCCCCCCTACCTGCAGAGCTGCGTCCCGGAGGAAAGCCCCTGCGTCTGCCACAACGTGCTCCACGGGCGCCATGCTGGCTGGGAAGGCATTAAGCGCGCAGGCGTACGGAGCTTGCGCCAGCTCCTACATCTCAATCTAGGCCTTTGGGAACCCAGAATAGCACCCTCTATTTAGTGGCGCCCCCTGGCGGCCATGGCCGCAGTTCCCGACTGAGGGCGATCGGTGCGCGTGCGCAGCAGCGCCGACAACCCTGGCCCGGAAATGCGGGCGCAGTCAGAAGCTTGTGTGGGACTGCAGAAGAAATACACTTCAGCATCCCGTCCTTAGCGCCTTCTTTACTTTAAAGAGTGAAACCTGTATATATCCTCATAGTTAAAATTTAGTGAATACAGACACCCCAATTTAATTATTATAACAATCCTATGGGATAGGTACTATTTTACAGGCAAGGGATAGCTACTTAAATCCAGGAGGCCCAGCTGACCTGGTCAGGAAGCGGTGATAACCAGGTTAACACCAAACTGCCTTGGAGCCGTGTTCTGTTAAGTATATTCTGTTCAGTTGTACATTATGCTGTAGCACTACTGTTTCTGAGGGATTTAAGCAATTTGCAGCCAGGGTCTGTCTGTCTTATTTTCATTTATTTATTTGTTTGTTTATTTTTGGTTGACACAGGGTCTTACTTTATGGTGCAGGTTGGCCTTGAACTCACTATGTAACCCAGGCTGGCCTCCAACTGGTTACAATCCTCCTGCCTCAGCCTCCCGAGTGCTGAGATTACAGGCATGGGATGCACCGCTGCCCCCAGCTACTGTCTTGTTTAATATTCTCACCCCGCTTCTATAAACAATGCACTTAATTTGCTAGGCAATAAATCCTTGCCAAGGTGGCATACACCTGTAATTCCAGCTAGGGAGGCTGAGGCACGAGGACTGCAAATTCCAGGTCAGCCTGGACAATTTAGTACCTTATTAGACCCTGTCCCCCCGAAAAAAATGTCTGGGATGTAGCTCAGTGGTAGAGTGCTTGCCTAGTATGTGCCACTCCCTAGTACTGCAAAACAAACAAGACATACTGAGTTATGAGTTCTGGACTGCTACATGCCAGCAAATTTTGGGCTGAATGTTAACTTGAGTCTTCATTATTTCTCCTTGTCTAAGCATTCTTCATCATAAATTAAATTATCATTATTTGCTGATGATGTGGTACTCTACATAGAAGACCTCAAAAGCTCCACCAAAAATCTTCTAGATTTAATAAGCAAATTCAGTAGTGTAGCTTGATACAAAGTCAACACTCAAAAATTAATAGCCTTCCTGTATAGGAATAACAAACTTAATGAGAGAGAAATTAGGGAAACAACACCTTTCACAATAGCATCCCCAAAAATGCAATACCTAGTAATCAATCTAAGGAAGGAAGTAGACTTCTACATTGAAAACTACAGCACTTTGAAAAAGGAGATAGAAGATGATATCAGAAAATAGAAATCCCTTGTTCTTGGGTAGGAAGAACCAATATAGTGAAAATGGCCATACTTCCAAAATTGTTATACAGATTTAATGCAATTCTGATCAAAATTCCAACAGCATATCTCACAACTTAGAAAAAACAATCCTAAAATTCATTTGGAATCAGAAGAGAACTAGAATAGCAAAGGCAATTCTGGATAACAAAGGCAAAGGAGGGGCATCACAATTTCTGACTCAAAATTATACTACACAGCTACTGTGATCAAAGCAGCATGGTACTGGGGATGGGGATTTAGGGCAGTGGCACCACGCCTGCCTCGAAAGCACAAGGTCCTGAGTTTGATCCCCAGTATCGAAAACAAAACAATACAAAACAGCATAGTATTAGCAAAAAAACAAAAACAAAAAACCAAAAAACCAGACCTCAGGATCAATAGAACAGATTAGAAGATGCAGAAACAACTCCAAACATACTCAGCCACCATATCTTTGACAAGGGAGCCAAAGACCTTCACTGGAAGTAAAATAGCCTCCTTAATATATGGTGCTGGAGGGCCAGGGATTTAGCTCAGTGGTTCTGGTGCCTTCCGAGCAAGCTCAAGGTCCGGAGTTGGATCCCTGGTACCAAAAACAAAAAAAACAAACAAAATATACGGTGCTGGAAAAACTGGCTTTCCATATCTGAAGATTAAAACTAGACCCATATCTTTCACCATGCACTGAACTCAAATCAAAATGGATCAAAGATCTAAATATAAAAACAGAAATACTAAATCTGCTGGAAGATAGAATAGGTAGAACTCTCCAAGACACTGGTGTAGGCAAAGACTTTATGAACAAAACCTCAATTGCACAGGAAATATCTCATCTTATTCAAAAGCTTTTGCACAGGAAAAGAAACCACCAGGGCCAAGGAATTAGCTCAGTGGTTTCGCCGCCTGCTGCACAAGCGCAAGGACCCAAGTTCGATCCCCAGTACCAAAAAAAGAAAAAAGAAAAAAAAAACCACCAACAGAGTGAAGACACAACCCACAATGTGGGAAAAATTTTTTTGCCAGCTGTCCCTCAGACAAAGGACAACTATATAGAATATATAAAGAACTCAGAAAAACCAGACACCCCCCCAAATTTAAAGACCCAATTCAAAAATGGGCATCTGAAATTAATAGATACTTCTCAGATGAAGAAGTAGAAGCAGCAAATAAATATATGAAAAATGTTCAACATCACTGGTCATTTGCGAGATGCAAATTAAAACAACACTGAGATTCCATCTCACTCCAGAAAGAAAGGCTTGCTATCAAGAAATCAACCAATAGCAAATACTGGTGGGGCTGTGGAGAAAATGGAACCCTTCTCCACTATTGGTGGGAGTGTAGACTGGTGCAGCCACTGTGGAAATCAGTGTGGAGATTTCTCAAAAAACTTAAACTAGAGATTCCATTTGACCCAGCTATTGCCCTTGTTATCTTTCTGAAAGAATAAAAAGCATCGTACCACAGCAATATATACACACCCATATTTATAGCAGCACAGTTTGGAATAGCTAAATCTTGGAAACAGCCTAAATGCCCATCAACCCATGAATGGATAAAGATGTGGGTTTTTATTCAATTGAGTGCTACTCTGCCATAAAGAAGAATGAACTTCAGACATTTATTGCTAAATGGATGGACCTTGAGACCATACTCATAAGTGAAATAAATCAGACACACATGTTTAAATACTGTCATGTTTCTCTGGTGTGAGAAACCGAAAGTGGAAATAAGAACTAAAATGTGTAATAGATATTAAGAAATGGGAAGAAACTATTCAAATAGAAAGAGGAACAAGGGAGGAGGGAGGGAGAAAGGAAAGGAGGGACAAGGAAAAAAAGAGAAAAAAAATGAACACAATGCTTTTTTTTTTTTTTTTTGGTACCGGGGATCAAACTCGGGACCTTGTGCTTGCGAGGCAGGCACTGGAACCACTAAGCTAAATCCCTGGCCCTACTTTTGTATATAGGGTGGGGAGGAGATTTGAGGGGAGGGAATGGGAAAAAAGGAGGCAGGATATATGGTGTGCAGGTGCAAATTCTCTATGATGAGTGTTATCATTATGTATATCTAAAGTGTACCAATACATTTTTTTAAGAGTAGGAAACATTTATTGAAAGAAAGCTTCTAAGAGAGACAGAAGGGGGACTGGAAAGTAGGTTGCCCCCAATAGATGTTTTGCTTTAAAAAAAAAAATCACCCGGAGTGGGGGCACATTCCTATAATCCCAGCAATTAAGAGGTTGAGGCAGAAGGATCACTGGGAGTTGAGGCCAGCCTGGGCTACATAGTGAGTTCAGGGCCAGCCTGAACTACAAAGCAAGACCCTGTCTCAAAGAGCCAAACAAAAACAAGGACAAAAACACCTTTCTTCATCAGGTCTTGCTCTGGTCTTACCTCTTGTGATTTATCTGTCCTACCTCAAAAACCCTTCAGTGCTCTTATGGCGCCCACCCGAAATTAGCCAAATCCCTTTTCTTTTCCCAGACATTATCTGTCTACCCTTCTTACGCTTGGTTTCTTCCACCTCTAGAGTCTGGTGTGGTTGAGGACTACTTCCAGTGTTCTTCTTTATCATATCAGTGCTTTGATTTTATTCATCAGCCTTCTCAGTTTCTCTGCGGGATTTGTCTCGCTGACCAGCTCCTCCTCTCGAATTCTCTCTCCTCACCTGATTTTGGTGATTCTCCACAATCCTGCTCTCCCTGCCTCTCCACTGCTTCTTCACCTCCTGCATCGGTCTCCCTTCTTTTTGTCTTGCAGCCATGGCTGCCTCCCTGGAACTGTCCAAGCACCTTTGTTTATCTATGTTTTCTTCTTCAGCAAGATTCCTTCTCCTCAAGGATACAATGAGCTGCTGTTATGAGATCTGCTCCTCAAGGTCCAGTCCCCACCCCTTTTTTGTGGCACTGGGGATTAAACCCAAGGCCTCTGCACTGAGTCACATCTCCTGCGTGGCTCCTCCCTTTTTTGAGACAGGGTCTCACTAAGTCATGTGTGAGCACTTGGAGAACACTGCATAGATTGGACCCTAAAAAAAAAAGTCTCCTACAGCGTAGGAATTATATTGCTTATGCAATGGCCAGATTTCCTTTTTAAAAGTTTAGAAGTAGTTAGGGTCCATCCAATCTCATGTCCAGTAGTAGTGGAATGTTAATGGAATTAGCCCAGGACTGTAAGGGTAATTAGGTAAAGGTGAGAATTTGAACTTTTTTCTTTTTGGGGGGGGTTTGAGACAGGGTCTTGCTATGTACCCCAGGCTGGCCTCAAACTCACAGTGATCCCCGTCTCTGCCTCCCGAGTGCTGGGGAATACAGGTGTGCACCACCAGGCCCAGAAAGAATTTGAACTTTTTCTTTTTTTTTTTGGTACTGGGGATCAAACTCAGGACTTTGTGCTTGCTAGGCAGGCGTGGTGCCACTGAGCGAGGCTCTAGTCAGGACAATTTAGTGACTTAGTGAGCGCTTATCTCAAAATAAAAAAATAAAGATTGGGGATGGAGCTCAGTGCCAAGGACCTGGGTTCAATTCTCAGTAAACCCCACCTCCTCAAACAGATTTCTGCTAATTCATTCAGTTCTATATACTCTGTAAAGGACATGGGAATCAGTTTGATGTGGTATGGCATTTTGCTCACCCAGGCAGGGTTGTGTT